TCCCTATGACCCAATTGAATGTCTCTATGACTCCCTATGACCCAATTGAATGTCTCTATGACTCCCTATGACCCAATTGAATGTCTCTATGAATCTCTATGACCCAATTGAATGTCTCTATGACTCCCTATGACCCAATTGAATGTCTATATGACTCCCTATGACCCAATTGAATGTCTCTATGACTCCCTATGACCCAATTGAATGTCTCTATGACTCCCTAGAACCCCATTGAATGTCTCTGTGACTCTCTGGGACCACATTGAATGTAACTATGACTCCCTATGACCCAATTGAATGTCTCTATGACTCCCTAGAACCCCATTGAATGTCTCTGTGACACTCTAAGACCACATTCAATGTCTCTATGACTCCCTATGACCCAATTGAATGTCTCTGTGACTCCCTATAACCCAATTGAATGTCTCTATGACTCCATATAACCCAATTGAATGTCTCTATGACTCCCTATGACCCAATTGAAAGTATCTCTGACTCCCTAGAACCCCATGGAATGTCCCTGTGACTCCCTATGACCAAATTAAAAGTATTTGTGACTCCCTAGGACACCAGTGAAAGTTTTTGTGACTCCTTAGTACCCCGTTGAAAATCTCTATGACTTCCTCTGGGGTCCCAATAAAAGTTTGTGTGACTGCTTAAGTGATTTTTTAGGACCCAGTAAAAGTCTCTGTAACTACTTAGGACCCCAGTGAAAGTCTTGGACTCCCTAGGACCCCAGTAAAAGTTTTTGTGACTGCCTAGGATGCCAGTGATTATTATGACGTAGTAAAAGTCTGTAGCTTCTTAAGTGAAAGACTTTACGACTTCTTAGGACACTGGTGAAAGTTTTTGTGACTCCTTAGGATCCTAATGAAAGCCTCTGTTACTCTCTAGAACCCCTGTGAAAGTCTCTGTGACTCTCTGCTTTAGTACCCCTGTGTAAGTCTGTGTGATTCCCTAGTACCCTAAGTAAAGTCGCTGACTCCCTAGGACCCCAGTGAAAGTCTCTGTGACTCTCTGCTTTAGTACCCCTGTGTAAGTCTGTGTGACTCCCTAGTACCCCTGTGTAAGTCTCTGTGACTCCCTAGGACCCCAGTGAAAGTCTCTGTGACTCTCTGCTTTAGTACCCCTGTGTAAGTCTCTGTGACTCCCTAGTACCCCTGTGAAAGTCTCTGTGACTCCCTAGGACCCCAGTGAAAGTCTCTGTGACTCTCTGCTGTAGTACCCATGTGTAAGTCTATGTGATTTCCTAGTACCCTAATGAAAGTCTCTGTGACTCCCTAGGACCCCAGTGAAAGTCTCTGTGACTCTCTGCTTTAGTACCCCTGTGTAAGTCTCAAGTACCCTAATGAAAGTCTCTGTGACTCCCTAGGACCCCAGTAAAATTTGCCACAAAGTGAAATTTTTCCTTTACATGCAAAGTTTAACTAAAGTATTTTACATTTTTGCCCCGTCACTAGCTCCATGTACAACTCATAATTTAATAATTTGAACTTCTCAATTTCAAATTATTATTTTAATTTCAGATTGAGACTGTAATACATGTACATAACATAGAACCAGAGAGGACACATGTGATACCAGTGACTTCATTGGATGTATCCAAACCGTCTACTGTCAGTATTCAGCAATGGCATCATCTAATTGCATCATTAAACTTAAAAATTGAGGAACCTGACACATCATTTATGCTTACGTATACCAGTGTCCTTGTTCCAAAACACTTGAATATATGTGTTTTGGAAGGATTTTTGTCAGTCTTAGAAGCCTTATTGTGTAAGTATTACATAAACAAGAATGTTTTTTTTGTCCAACCATATGCCAGTTATTAACATGCTAATTTTAGCCATTCTAATTCGAATTATAATATATGCATATTTAAATTAATGATATGCAATTTGAGATGCAAAGAAATTATAGAAAAAATGCATCAAACATTATGATGATAAAAATGATTGTGTGTCCTTGGTAATGCTGTGGTGTTAACTTGACTGTTACAGCTTTCTTTTTGTTTTATTTTAGATTTAGGAAGTGATATCATACAGTTGTTTTGCAGATTTTCACCAGATGAAGGAGCCAATGTGTTAGCATTGGTGAGTACAAAACTTGGTTGTACACCACACTGTTTTGTTATTCATTAATTAATGATCGTATTCTTCAATGGTGTTGGTAAACATTAAGTATCCTCGGGGGCGGACTTCCGGGAATTTTCTACCGCCTGGCAACCCAAACAAAGACCAAAAACTCGCGGAAAACGGTACTTTGCGATGGTTGTTGAGAGTCCCCTGAACAGTGTAACAAGATTAGCCCTACGTGTGTAACATATATGAATTTGGTTGTTCAGGATTACTTCAAAGTTGAGTTTGTGTTGTTTTCTCGAATTTTCACCGGCTCCACTGGCATTCCACAGCAGCGCGCACAAAGCCCATAGAAATACGTAGTACAGTGATGCGCGTCTTAGCAACGTAGAACGTCTGTGACGTAGCTCCGCCCCCGAGGATTCATTTGTAGAGTTGTTAATTTGGAATTGAAGAATTGAAATCAGACAATAAATTTGATAACAAACTGACAGGCTGGTACTGAGGTTTGCAATAATTTGACAAGGACCAGATTATGAGGTAAACTTGCATGTGCTGTTAAGAAGATGTGACCAAAATGGCAATGAATCAACAATTAATTCTCAAATCTTGATCTTGTCTCGAGACAGTATTCTACATTTTACAATATTCTGTAGTTTCCATTATTAGATGTTTGAAACTGAATTATACTATTCACATACATTTCCCATATCTCTGAACTTCCTTACCTCTCATTTCCCGTATCCCTCAACCTTGCATCTTCCCTTTCTCTCATCCCCTACCTCCCATCTCTCATCTCCTCTACCCCACATCTCCCCTGTTTCTCATCTCCCCTACCTCACATCTGCCCTATCCCCCTACCTCACATCTCCCCTACCTCACATCTCCCCTACCTCACATTTCCCATCTCCTAACTCTCATCCCTCATCCCCCTACCTCTCATCTCCCCTATCCCCTACCTCACATCTTTCTATCCCCTACCTCACATCTTTCTATCCCCTACCTCACATCTTTCTATCCCCTATCTCTCATCTCCCCTATCCCCTACCTCACATCTTTTTAACCCCCATCTCACATCTCCCCTACCTCACATCTCCCCTACCTCACATCACCCCTACCTCACATCTCCCCTACCTCACATCTCCCCGATCCCCCTATCTATCATCTCCCCGATCCCCCTATCTATCATCTACCCTATCCCCCTCTCTATCATCTCCCCTATACCCCTCTCTCTTATTTCCCCTATCCCCCTCTCTCTTATCATCTCCACCTCATATCTCCCCGATCCCCCTATCTATCATCCCCCTATCCCTATTTCTTGTCTCCCCTACCTCACATCTCCCCTATTTCTCATCTCTCCTACCTCACATCTTCCCTATCCCACTAACTCTCACCCCCTACCTCTCATCTTCAATATCCCCTATCCTAACCTCTCATCTCCAATATCCCCTATCCCCACCGCTCATCTCCAATATCCCCTATCCCCACCTCTCATCTCCAATATCCGCTATCCCCACCTCTCATCTCCAATATCCCCTATCTTCACCTCTCATCTCGCCTACCTCACATCTCCCGTATCCCCTATCTCTCATCTCCCCTACCTCACATCTCCCCTATCCCCTATCTCTCATTTCCCCTATCCCCTATCCCTCATTTCCCCTATCCCCTATCCCTCATTTCCCCTATCCCCTATCTCTCATTTCCCCTATCCCCCTATCTCTCATTTCCCCTATCCCCCTATCTCTCATTTCCCCTATCCCCCTATCTCTCATTTCCCCTATCCCCCTATCTCTCATCTCCCCTATCCCCTATATCTCATCCCCCTACCTCTCATCTCCCCTATTTCTTACTCTCATCTCCCCTATACCCTACCTCTCACCCCTACCTCACATCTCCCCTATCCCCTATATCCCATCCCCCTACCTCTCATCTCCCCTATTTCTTACTCTCGTCTTCCCTATCTCCTACTCTCATCTTCCCTATTCCCTACCTCTCATCCCCCTACCTCTCATCTCCCCTATCTCCTACTCTCATCTCCCCTATCTCCTACTCTCATCTCCCCTATCTCCTACTCTCATCTCCCCTATCTCCTACTCTCATCTCCCCTATCTCCTACTCTCATCTCCCCTATCTCCTACTCTCATCTCCCCTATCTCACATCACCCCTATCCCCCACCTCTCATCTCACATCCCCCTATCCCACTATCTCTCATCTCCCCTACCCCTCATCAATATCCCCTACCTCTCCCTTATCCCCACCTCTCATCTTTCCTACCTCCCATCTTTCCTACCTCTCATCTCCTCTACCTCACATCTTTTTATCCCCTACCTCTCATTTCCCCTATCTCTCATTTCTCCTACGTCACATCTCCCCTATCTCTCATCTTCCCTATCCCCTACCTCTCATCTTCCATATCGCTCATCTTTCCTACCTCTCATCTCCCCATTCCCTCACCTATCATCTCTGCATCCCCCTATATCGAATCACCCTCAACTCGTCTTCATACTACTTTATTCCTCCCATTTCTTCCTCCACCCATTTTCTTGTCTACGATCAACCTCCCATCCACCCCCAAACTATATTTTCATCTCCTACACTCTTTCCACTCATCTCTCATGACCTTCATTTTTCCTTATCTCTTGGTTCCTTCATTCCTTCCTTTCATCTTGTCCTCCTTTTGTCTTTTATATTTCTTTTCTCTCTTCAATTCCTTTTTACCTCTCTCACATCTTTTCTCCTCTTTTTTTTCCTCCCCTCCCTAATCTCCTCCTTCATCTCTTCCTCACTTCTCACCCTCCACTTGTCTCCTTTACCATTTACCCCCTCCCTCACTTCTTCTTGTCTCTCCTTCTTTTGCACCCACCTGACCCCTCCACTCCTTTCTCTCAGCTCACCTCCCATGAAAACCAGAAACAAAGGCAAAATACAAATAACCACTAGAGGGCGATATTTAACTTCATTCATCTTGTAGACTCATTGTGATGTATTCACTCCACAGCTGCAGGAAGTGTTGCATTCGCCGACTACAGATCTTCCGGTTAGCCATTCTTTAGTAGTGCCTGTCTGGGGAAAATACAGTCGTACAAGAGAATTTTTACAGTTGATTGGACTTACACAAATAAAGACTGAGCAGAGAAAAAGAGTGCTTAGATTAAAATGTTCTAGCCGTACTGTCATGCAGGTAGCATGCATCATATTGACTGCGTTCCACAAACAATCCTTCAAAACATTATTAGTTTCCGATTTGTGAGTTTTTTTATATAATGTACATTATTTTCAACTGGAAGGGTAAATTAATTTATTATGGGGCATAACCTGCTTCAGAGTTTTTATATTTTTTAATCGATGTAATATTGCTCCAACATGACCTTTGTACACAGTGAACAAATGAAAACAACAACTAAATAGCTATGTTGAACAATTAATTAAAAAAATAATTAAAAATTAAAATTAAACATTTTCGAGCAACAATATTTGCTCTATAAAGCAGGAAAATTAAACGCGTATAAACTGCATCTATTGTATACTGAAATATTAATACAATATGATTTATTTTGCCCATAGAAACCCCTACTAATAGATCTAATACGGTATTTGCATAATATTAACATAATTATACCTATTTGACACATTGCCATGTGTTTACATAGTGCCATAAATGTCATATTTTCTCACAATGTCATGGGTTAAACAATGAATGAATTAAAGAATGTATTTTCTATTCAGATAAGGCTGACTATGGTACGATAAGTGCCAATGAACACAAACAATAAAAAGAAAGAATATGAAAGAATATGAATATGAAGTTTATTACAGATTTTATAGAACAAGGTTTTTATTGTTAAAATGCAATATTATTTTATTCATCTGCATATTTTTCTTGATATGAATGTAGTTCTGTTTTATGTCACCCCTAAATTATCTCTTTAAAACCAGATTTATTGGTGAGTAGACTATATTTACACTTTGTATTTCTCATATTCAATCCTAGAGGGCAGTAGACATGTATCATTTTGCTGTTCGAGTGATTTTCATGGGAAAAAAATTTAGTATGATATATGAGATCCATAAATTTAAACATGGTATATTTTAAAATAAATTTATATTTATTATTTTGTATTAGTTTGTTTATTCTTAATGTTTAATTTAGGATTTATTGTTATTATTTAATTTCTGAGGGAAAAAATCATTCAAAGTGTTTACCACATTCTTGGTTGGCTGTTCAGTGAGGCTCTCTGGGACTATGGTAAAACATTCTATAAATTATTAAAAGCTTTCATAAAGTAGTTGCTATGGAAACAAATTGTCAAAGTCCCCATGTCAAAGGTGAAGCAGAGATTGTCTGACAGTTAAAAATAAAGTGAAACTCAGGATTTCAGAAGGTTGGTAACCTTGACGACCATACGAATTACAGTATAATCCACGGTAAAAAAAGAATGAAATCTATTTCTGTAAGTGAAAATGATCATCTTGGCATTCGTTTGAATTGTTTTATTTTATTAAATTTTTTGCCTTGAGCTAGTTAGGTGACCTCCGCATGGCTCGCCCGGTCTGCCTTGTGAGTGTGATCAGTAGCCGATGTGAGTCGTGTATTATATTTGAATTAACTCAGTCGGTAGGCTTTCATCTTCCTTCTTCCCACTGTAAAGCCCTTCACAAATCGATAGCGCCATACTATTTACCCATCATGCCCCTGGCACTAGTAAACTATGAAGGATTCATTTCAAAGGCTTGGCTCAGTTTGCCGACTTACATACAAAGCGTACTATGCTAACACGTCCATTCAGCGTGTCAGGGTGTATGTACATTCCCATTAATTTGTTAAAATAGTATTGATTTTTTTATGATTGCGTTAGTGCCCGTATATGTACACAGCGTTATGATTTCGCGTGAATACTTATTTTATTATCTCCATATAAATACGACATCATTTCTATGCTGATGGGCCATTTTGAATTTTATAAATTGTTTTCTTTGCTCAATGATTTCAGTAGTTACATCTGTAGTTTAATTTGTCGATGAGTATTGTGGTGATAATCAGATTCATTGCAATAATATGTATTTTTATCTGTACAAGTTTTTTTTTATTAAGAACTACGTGACTATCGCTTCTTTCTTGTTTTGCACACCTCATTATTATCAAAATAGATCATTAATCAATCAACGTGCAATCAACAAAATTTTCATTAAAAACACCAATATAGATATTATCTTTTTTCTTCTCTTTTTGAATTATCACCATAGAAACGGCAGGTGAATGCCCGAAAGATAGAAATACAAGAAGGTTACATGGTTGTGTGGACATTCTTAATTAGGTAATTGTTGCCTGTATGGTTGCTATGACAACCTGATTGGAAAATACTACAGACATTTCCCATCCCCTAAAGCCATACTATCGTGAAATCAATTAGCGACACATATAGCTAATTACTGACTAATTGAACCACTAATGAGCACTGAATAAAAAATGTTGTTACAAACTTTTTTTTGAAATTGCTCCAAAACAGACAAATGACCTGGACTTTCAAGTTAATTTCTAATGGACATGAAACAAGGTCGGCTTTGAAAGAAGAATGTATTTCAAGGGTGTTCCCAGGCATCTTCTTGTGTGGTGCCTCTACTTGACCTCTGACCTGCTGGCTCTAATCTTCTCCCCAGTCAGCTAATTGCTTCCTAATTATGTCAAATCAATTTCTTCTCCTAAAGTGTCCATTTTCTTTTATTTTCTTATTGTCTTTTCACCACTCTATAGTGGGAGGGTTGTCAATATCGGCCAAGTAAAGGCGACTTTAATTGGGGCAATCAACCAGAAAATTGGTTGAGATTGCAGCCTTTTGTGTGAACCATCATTGTGTTGATCAGTGATTATTTTCGAGGGTGTCTGCGTAGGGTAAGTTCCAAACTACTGGACATGTTACTTGACTTTAGCCTGAAGGCCTGTTGCCAACTTAGTTACGGCAAAGTCCACGCATCCATACCTTATACATTAGAAACCTTCTGATACTTAATATAAGGAATGACTTGATCAAAGAAGTGTTGCCGCTTTCGGTTTCTTTGAAGTCCTCTAGAATTTCGCAAAGAATTGGAAGTTGTAAGACGTAAAGGTCTTTTTGACTGATTATGGTTATTACACTGCACCTAAAGAGTAACATTGTTTCACATACTGACTAAACCGACTGGATTAACCTCAGCTTACAGCGTTTTCTTTCCTGAATCTTGTGGGAAACTCTTAGTTGTTTAGTTAGCTGTTGTTTATTCATGTACCGTGCAATTGGAACACTCTAAAACTAGAGACGATGATGAAGATGGCAAAATTAAAGAGAAGGGCGGGTTTAAACCTACCATTATGTGATTGAAGTTAGCGACCAACCTTGAATATTGACTTAGACACTGGCTTTAGTCTCTACATCACATTTTAGAATTTATTTCAATATTGCTGTACAATGCTATTATAATTTTAGGGAGTTATTACACAATAAAGAAGATAATTGGAAGATGAAATGAGCGAAAGTGTACATGCATGTCAATTTCCACACATGAGTACATTATACAGTATTATACTTTGTCAGATTAGGAGTGGTGTACACTTGTGTAAATTCCCTACAAACAAATCTAGTATTATTAAATCCATGTAAGTTTACTTAAAATCAACGCCAATATTTGAGATACACTCCTAGTACAGCAAATACAGTGTGTTGTTTTTAAAAGAAAACAATTTGCCGTAAAAATTCAATAATCCATGTTTTCAGTCGGTCTTTAGACATTCCTTCTATCTAAATTAGAGGGACAGGGTTCTGTAGTACAGTAATATGGTTACATGGGCTGATCTTGAAATGCTGAAAGCTGTGGCTGAAGCAAAAAGGGTGTTATTAATAACTGTATATTTACGGTTTATTTTAGTAAACATGGTTTATTGTAACACTTACACATTGCATATAGAGTGGGGGTGCTCAAAAGAACAAAGCAAAAAACAATTACAGAATAAAAAACGGAAGACAATCAATTCATCGCTAACAAGAACGACTGTTTTGCTTAATTTAGTTTAGTCATAGAATTAAACATGGTGTAATTGATGACAGATGTTGAAACTTGCTCCACAATTCTTTTTATTTTTGTGAAGGCTCAAAAAATTTAATGTATTTCCAGTAAAGATTTTAGTGTTTCGAGTATATGATGTGAATGCTGGTATAGTGATGAAATATCGTGTGTGAAAACCACACATACCAGTAATGTTCGTACCGATTTGATGATTTGAAAGCGGTAAACAAAACCCTCAAAACTCTGATAAAAATGTATACCTTCGCTGGCTCCCTCTATCTTGGTTAAGATTCGTGCCTTCAGCTTTGACCGTTTTCGTGTATGCATGATCCCACTGGGTGAGGTAGCTGCCGCATTTTATTTCAACATGGCGAGGTCTCGGCCACATCCCATCAGTGTATCGCTTAGCAAATATCGCATTCAGCTCCCCGCTGAGATCTCTAAAGAGTCTATAAGCACCAGAATACTATCAGCTAAAGAACACGGACCTGAGTAAACATACCTACTGTAAACAGTACATGTGTTCTGTAAAGGCGGGTGGGGACGACTGGGAATAACACTCGAAAAATGAGAACCCGTGAACAAATAAATGATAACAAGAAATTTGAGATTTTGGAATAATATTTGCTTAGTGTAATAGGTGTCAGACTTTCCTTGCAGCAAATGAAACAATCAGTTAGAATGTCCTGTTTTCTAATGAGCTTTTCTAAATAAACTTGTGTTATTTGGAAAGAATACATAGCGTTTTCTCCAGGGTCGTGTAAGTTGACATACGCCGAACGTTCACTGCTGTAGCAGTCTGGTTTTATTCTTTCCATGTGGGCACTAGTATGTAAATGGAAATGATGCTTTGTCCTGTCTTCAATTGATCACAATTTTCGTTGGTAATGAAGTAAATAAAATCAAAATGCAGTGGCAACATCTGTTTGGTGTAGTAAACAGTGTAGAATGCAATGGGTTGGGTTGGTCACATATGTTGTCTGTATCCCGATGCTTCTATACACCCTTAGCTCGCTATCGGGATGTATCCGTTCCGCGATTGCTTGGGTCTTTATCATCATCAACGACGCAATAACGGCGGATTATTCTAAGCGACGGGCAGAGAATAAATACTGATTCAATATTACTTGGATGATGGCTCGA